CTCACGGCGCTTCGCGCTTGGTGATGTGAGAGCCTGGTCCGGTGAGAACCCGGCGTGCTCCGTCCCGGCTTTGTAGGGATGCGAGGTCAATGGTCTAACGATTAGGGCATGCACGACTATGAGTACACCCCCCCCCCTGTTTTGTGCAGGCGTTCGGCACTAACGCGTCGAGAGCAGCATGCAAGAACCTTGGTGCACGTCAAGTGATCGACACCGTCAAAAAGGTTGTGGAGCACCTGAACAAGAGCACTTTGATGAAGGTGCGTAGTGTTGGTGGTTTAGGTTAGAAACAAACATCAGTTGCCGTTGCAAGTCAAGAACAGATGTGTAGTCGGGAAAACAAAGGCATCAAGCGTCCAGATGCTTCGCATGAAGTTACAACGCCACAATTGAACGCGTATCACCATCCTACTTCAGACCGAACCCCCGCCTGCAAAAAGCTGAAGCTTAAGCTTAGCGTTCTACTTCGTATTCAACGTGTTATGGGAAACGTCGACGTACTTCCAACCGACCGACCCTCGCCATGACGGCACCAGATGACTTGAAGCGACAGTGTTCCATGTCAATTCCAATGTTCCCGATCTCTTTCTTTCGTGCTCATGTTGCCAACTGTTGCTATTTTCAAGGCGAGGTACGACGACATTCAAGTGCTGCTGTACGGCAAGTCGATGAAGCTCGTCAACGCCGTCCCTCACCGCTGGATCTCTACGTGCAACGTCCTGGAGGAGATTCTCCGCAGCTGGCAGGCGCTCGAGGAGCACTACCAGAAGAACGAGCAAGGGGGGAGTTTCCCTCTCGCTCAACACAAGACGGTGATAGAAGAGCTATACAGCTTGATGAAGCCCATCTCTGTTATCATGAAGGAAAGCCAGGAGAAGGGGTTGCCGACAGGCCTGAGTACGTTCGCCGCCCTCGTCATGCTTCGGGCCGACACGCTGGACGTCACAAAGCCCCTGGAAGTGACCGTGCCTCGCAAGGTCACTACTACAGATTGGGCCCGGACCTTGGCGACAACCACCATCGAGCGCCCGGCCGACAGCCTCCAAGACGTCACCACGACCACTCGCACCATGCTCGCTGCCGCGCTCGACAAGCGCTTCTTCAGTAAACGCTACGACGCCAACGTAGTGGCGGTGCCACCGTCGGACTACGTCTTCGAGATGGCGGCGTGCATGAGCCCCGCCCTTCACACACTGCCCTGGCTGACATCGATGTGCAGCAGTGATGAGGAAGCGGGACGTGTCCACAAGCTCATCAAGGGTAAGGTTGTCGACCTCATGGTGAAGCTGGCGGAGGGAGCGGGTGCTTACCCGGGGAAAGCGACCGAGGGTGACACCAGTGGCGCCAGCGCGTCTGCCCCGCCACCCTTCAAGCGGTCGCGTGGCCCGTTGACCGTCGGCACTTCAGAGAGGACGAAGCGGCTACTCAAGAGCGGTGTCTTTGGCGGTAGCAAGAGCAGCACCAGCAGGGACGACGGCCCGAGTGAGCTGACTATGAAGGAGGTCTGCCAGCAGGAGTTCGACCGCTTCATGGCGCGCTTCGCCGACACCACCATCTCGGACTACCCGATAGAGGTGCTGCTGGAGTTCTGGGCGGGCGAGGGGCAGGCGCTCTACCCAAACATGGCCCGCGCCGCCAGGGTACTGTTGTCGGTGCCGGCGTCTTCGGCGGTGCTCGAGAGGGACTTCAGCACAGCTGGGCGCCTGATCACCGGGGCACGTAGTCGTCTCAGTGCGGCTTATGTGGAGATGGTGCTGTTCCTCAACGGCAACCAAGAGTACATCCCGATGGAGGTGCCCAAGCTGTCAAAATCGCAGGGCCAGGAGGCGGTGCCAAGACGGCTTTCCAACCCCAACGAGGAGACGGAGAGACTCTCCGTGGGCGAGGTGGTGCCGGACACGAACACCGACGAATTCGCGGAGGAGTCGTTGGAGTGTGATATTGCATCACACATCGTCTAAACGGCGAAGGGAGGGGGGGGGTTGGCGTCATGGTGGATTCAGTTCTTGTTTTCGTGTTGGTCAGATTCATGGTTGTCGCCTCTCTTGTGTGTGCTACTGCTGTAGTCTAATCGTTCGTATTTTTGTATTGACGTTTTTGAAGGTACCGGCGGAATCTACTTTTGTCTACACGCGCCAGTTTAAGACTATCTGTCGTGTACCTTTTTAGGGTAAAAGTGACCCTAAGACCACGGGAATCGACCGCATCAACTGTTGTCGTGAGTGTTTGACTAGTACGGACAGAAGAAGGTACGTACTGGGTACAGAGAACGGAACAGTTTTGCATGTGAAGACAGCAACAACATGTATGTTTTAGCTCTTAAATGTAGGCCACAGGACCACAGATTATCTGTGACATTCTCGAGTGTTGGTGTTGATCCGTAGGTCGGATATGTACATGTAGATTCGAACGTGTTTGTCGCTCTTGATCTACAATCCATGGATCATCTGTGAGATTTCCGACTCTTGATCTATAACCCATAGATCATCTGTGATATTCCGACTCTTGATCTATAACCCATAGATCATCTGTGATATTTCCGACTCTTGATCTATAACCCATAGATCATCTGTGATATTTCCGACTCTTGATCTATAATCCATAGATCATGTGTGATATTTCCGATTCTTGATCTATAGACACAGATAGATCTGTACATTGTCTGCTGTACATGATCTATAATCCATAGATCATCTGTGATATTTCCGAATGTTGATCTATAGACACAGATTGATCCGAACATATCTGCCGCTCTTGATCTATAAGCCATAGATCATCTGTGATACCTGCGTGCTCTTGATCTATACTCCACAGATCATCTATGATACGTCCAAACCTTGATCTATAAACCACAGATCATCTAGATCGTGATCTATCCGACGTGTGAATTCCTTTCTAGCTCTGGGTGTCCGGACCCCGGGTGCCCGTTCGGGTGTTGTCGTTTCGACAAATCACACGATTTGGGTGTTACGAAATGTGCAAGGCCTCCTGCCGACTTGGCTGAGGTGGGACGAGTTCTCATGTCAGCACTGTTACGGTGCGACCGTGGCACTACTGCTTTAAGGGGTCAAGAAGGACCAAGACAAGATATAGGCGTCGCTGAGGCGGGGAAATGCCCTCCCACACACGATAGGTAACATCCCATCACATGAACCGACAACCGCGTTCACTTGCAGACCACCTCCCGGGCTCTTGTCACTTCTTACTGCAGTTGCCACCGAGTGAGCAAGACGTGGGATCTGACAACACAAGACTTCCGTTCACGCAATACAAGGGTGTTTGTCAACACACGAGCAATCGACAAAGCAGCAACGGTCTTGCCGAAGCATATCGACGCTGCTACTCAATCAAGATGGAGAGTTGCACCGACAACGAACTTCATCTCCGTGGATGCACCACGGGTTGGCCCGCGGATTTCCACATTCGTTTCACCGAAAAAGCCTTCCAATCAAAGCACGGCGTGCTACAAAAATGTTTGCCTCTGTTGATCAAGGCCGTTGGCGAGTGCACTGGTTCCAACTCAAGTCCACACATTAACGCGCCGTCATCGCACGGCGGCCGTCGTTGCCTCTGCTGCCGCCGTTCCCCCCCCACCTCCACCCCTCCTCTCTCCGCCATACCCTTGGAGCGTTACCGCCTCCTTTCTCTCTGCCCCAGCGGCAGGTTCCCGGGCGAGTTCCGCCGCCACCACGTAGTCGAAACCCACTTCGACCCTTCAAATGCGAGGATGAGATACGGGGGAGATGGATTAGCTTAGGACAGACTGTCCGTTGGTATCGACTGCGCAGCCCGACTGACCAAATGAACGGAGGTCAGTCGTGCAGTACAGAACGCGACATGATATCTAGAAGGGTGTTTGTGGCATCATACGAGGTGTCAACTGAACAGACAGCAATGTACAGCGGAAAAGCAAGGGCTGCCTTTCACGTTAACTTCGTTCGGGATTCGGAGAGGGAGAGGCCTGGGACGATCTAAAACTTCAACACCAACAACGCAGAATACATGTTTGATGACCTCGGACCATGTAAGTGAGACATTTCTTTTTCTTCGCAAGACCCTGAGAAGCCATGAATAACACTCTGTCAGAAAAGTCAGTCACCACCTCTCGCGATGAGCCCCCTCAAAGTAGACCAACAACAAGGTTGCTTATACACCGACCGATACCTCTCAGGAAAGCCCTCGACGAGATGTTTCCAAAACTACCATTTCGGTAGTGGTACCCCCCTGGTTGTGGAAAAATACGCTATTGAAAAACGGTAAATAACACGGGGGTGCCATCTCTCCGCCTCTTACGGTATGTTCTGGGTTAGAACAACGACCCCAAATGGCACACAAGACACAGAAGCCACTCGTGCGAAACACTCGCGTCCTTCGTCGGCCTCTACCTTGGCGGCGCGATACGACGACCTCAAGAACCACAAACACCGGTACTAACGACGGCCGCCTCCTTAGCCAGCAAGGTCGGTCCGGCCAAGAAAGAACGCACAGAAACACAGACACCGAGAGCAAAACACTTGGATTGAGTATTGCAATCCAAGGAAGAGACTCACCTGCCCCCTGCTCCCGCTAGCTCCTTCCTGACCCGGCCGTCCAAGTCGCTGATGTGTCTCTCCAGAGCCGCCGCCAGCTTCGGGTCCGTGACTGCGATTATGGGCAGCTTGCGCGACGCCACGTCGAGCTATTACCCGCGCGAGACGGTGTCCCCATGGAAATCAACGGAAGGAGGCGCCATCAACAACGTCGAGTCACAAACATCAAAGTCGAACGAATAGACAGCAGAATGTGACCCACCCCAACTCCCGCGGCCAACGGAGGGCATGGTGGCCGAAAACTGGACGAGAGGGCGGCTGCGCCGCGTTCTCGGAATGCGGAACAGAGAGCGGATACTTGAGAGTTAAAAAGACCGCTCGACTTGTCAGAGGGAAAAGGTCTCACCAGTAGATACGAAGATTCAGAAACAGACGTGAACGCTACTGGCGCTCTGTAACAAGGTCGCATGCATGTGGCCGGTCGCCCATATACAAGGCCGGCGAAACCGCGTGACACAGATGGAATCATCAGGTGGTCTCATACTCTGAGTAGTATCGGGTACCGGCCGAAGGGACCACTATGCACTGCCATATTTGAAAATAGCAGCCTGGCTGTAAGTCACGTGCGGCGTACACCTGGACAAACGGCATGTGCACCAGATGATGAGCCATGAATTCCTCAAGGACGCGCGAAAGCGCAAAGACAAGAGATTTTCTCGCTTCACTACATATAATACACCACATTGGACGACTGCTGTGGTTCAATCTCCAAGCAGTTGTTTCGTTATTGAATATATCAGATTCCGCGAGGGAGAACGATGAGTATTGCTACAAATAATACACCACATTGGACTACTGCTGTGGTTCAATCTCCAAGCAGTTTGTTTCGTTATTGAATATGTCAGATTCCGCGAGGGAGAAAAGATGAATATTGCACACTATGACATCGTTGCCTGGATACGTCGCCAGGTTCCGCGTTTAGTGAGTGTCGTGAATGTAGGATCGAACCCACCTGTCGCTTGACGGTGTGCGGCGCGTAGAGGACCGGCATCTTCTTGGCCGAGGTGACCACCATTCCGGACTTGTTCATCTGCCGAGTGATCCAGTCCAACGGGTATTCCCTGCGCAACAACAAAATCAAAAGAAACAAAAAAAATCAGCGCAGATATACAAGTGCGTCCGATACAAGTGGGAAGGGGATACATGGTAAAAGCGCGCGTCCATTCATTGTTTACTAAACAAAGCGCCAAGGCTATTATCGAAATCCAGAGAAAGGCCCTATTAAAACTACTTCCATCCCTCAACAAGCCTGCGTGCTCTGTTCGCGTCAATGGAACTTGTTTGCTTGCGGATATAATCTCATTCGAGAAATAGATGTAATGATCCAGCAGGCACAAACCTCCGAAAGAGGCGACAAGAGCAGATACGTGCGTAAACACCCGCACACAGAGAATGCACGGAACAGAATATATCAACACCCACCCCTTCCAAGCAGGGCATTACCTTATTTTTCGCGGCTTCAAGTTTTGTCACGAATTAAACCTGAACAAACCAGGCTAAAAGGCGCGGCGAAAATATATCCGAATTTACATGCAGCACATTACTTGCCGGTACGGCCTGTGCCCCGCGAGAAGGATACACGAGTCACGAAGACGCGCCGCTTCGCACACCAGTTCCGCAGCACCGCCTGCGATAGCAAAACGAAAGGTGGAAACACCGACCCCCAAACAACGAAAATATAAACCATGTCGCAACACAAAAAAAAATAGCCGCACAGGATATGCACTAAGCAGGGCACCGTGCAAAGGAAAAAACATCACACGTGTCGATGCCCTCAAGTCTTGACAACCAGCAAATCCAGGGGCGACATCGCTGTTGAAAGACAAGGCGCTGCGGTAACACTGGGTGGCACAGCACAAGGGGCCAAGGTTCCAGAGGTATTGCAGCGGGGTTTGTTTTGACAGTCATGTTTTTCACTGGACAGAGTGCCGTTCTCTACTGCCCGGCTGTGTCGAACCTCCACGCATCCTCCACTATGCCGGGTAGCCTAGCTCTCTGTCGGGGCTACCGGCACGCCCCCGGCACCTTTCATTGAACCGGTGTGTCGGCGGTCAGCAAGGCCACACCGACGCCCCCTCGACACTTTTTGTACTTAGACCGCAGTCAGTACACCTGGGAACACCGAAAAACCGCTGAAAATATATAGAGTTGCTCACGACACACGGTCAGGTCTGACCCAATTCAGGCGGAAACAGACAAGACCCAGGCATGATAAAATCCAGGCGCAGGCAAAAAAATTAATATATTGGAGCAACATCCTTAGGAATAGCCGAAGGCGTCTGCCCGCACAACAAGTTTTGTGCTCCAGAGACGAGAGAGAACACTACTGCCAAATGCTGCCAATGGGCTCGAAAGCGTGAGATAAACATATCAGTCGATCTTAATGACCGGTACCCGCAGCGAAAAGCGAGAGAGAACACAAACTCTGACTTGCAGGCTCACCAGGGTGGTCGGGCAATGGCTGCATGCCCACCAGGTAAATCCGTCCCCCCGGAGCGACATGCCTCTTGAGACGCTCGAAAACTCGGTCCTGCACGGGCGCAAACGCCGCCGTAACGCATGCATATGTGTAAAATTACCATCGACCGCGTTGGCCCGCTCGTCAAGTAAATGACGTCCATCGCACACTGTAGCCGGATTCAAAAACCCG